GAGACTCCATCTCAAAAAAAAAAAAAAACAAAACAAATCTGCTTTCCTTCCCTGCTGCCTGGGACCTGTTTAGGGTGAAGGGGAGGCATATTGCTAGCGCTCTAGAGGGAGAAGGGGTATAAAGGGATAGTCCACTATTGACCAGCAAAACTCTTAGGTCAAGAAAGGAAGAAAGAAGAAGGGGGATGGAGAGGGGAAGAGGAGGAGAGGGAGAGAGATGGATACTTTCTTTTCAATGTGTCCTACGAACTATTGATTTGTCTAGGTAACACTCACTCAACCCTTGGCTATGGTTTTACCACACAGCCACAAAGAAAAAGCTTTCAATAAAATTGACCCTTAGGTATTGGAGGCTTTCCCTTAAAGACCACAATACTGTTCCATGGAGAGAGGGGAGCTAAACTGCATTCTATCCCAGAGCTTCCTCCTCAACCCAAGTCAAATGAAGGTGTCCTTAGTCATCCCTTCTGCCAATAAAACGACCCAAAAGAAAAGCAAACTACTCCTGGTGAGATTCAAGTTCCTAGTGCCTCTAGGATCTGCAGCAATTAATTAGACAATGAGGATCTTTTTCACTTCTTACTAAACCACTTACGTGCCTACAATCCCCACTTATTGGGAGGTGGGGGTGGTCCGTGTTAATTCCAGTGCTGAAAGCACTAATCCTTATTCTTGCTTTCTAGCTCAAGATGACCTAGCTTTGCCCTCATGTCCCTGAACCTCCCTGCCCAGTTGTAGACTTCTGCCCCTATTCCTAAGTAACACAGCATTTACTGAGATACAAACTAGAGGAACAATGTGGTATATGATTCTTTCCGGTTTCATTAGTAATTTTGTATTTTTGTTATTATGCTTTCACTTGGTTACAACCAAAGTTATTATACTGTGCAAGTTGCCACTATTTTAGAAAATTAATTGCAGTTCTCTGTACAATATTGTGCCTGGTTCCAATTAGAAAATGAAAGCCAAGAAGGAACACAGGCAGTTTAAGTGTTTTGAGAATTCAGCAAAACTTCAGCTCAGCAGTCTCTAAAAGCTTAACCTAAAAACAAAACAAAAATTAACAAAAAGCCCTCTCTGGCTCAAGTAGAAGGGAATCAGACAGAAAATAAGACTCTGAGTCATAGAGAGTAGCATATCCAGTCTGGAGGAATCGCAAATGGACAGTGGGAAGGGAGAGAGAAAATATGTGCCCAGTCTTACTTTCCTGATGTACCCATCACTAAAATTGGGAGGACTAACACGGTAAAAAGAGAAGGGAAAGATCAAAAGGACCCTAGATCCTAGAAATAAGGACAAAAATTAAAATGACTCAACATAAAGAAAAGACTCCAGCACATACAGCTATTCAAGGGAGAAACCTGGAAAGCAGCAACAGCCGAGAAAAGATGGGAGGTGAGGCACACACAGCCAAAAAGCTGAGTTTGGTAGGAAACAGAAGACAAACACCACTGTGCCTGCAACATAATTAGCAAAGAATCAAAGCACCACGCACAAAACCACAATGGCAAGTAGAACTGAGACTGACTCTGCCTTGCTGAGGAGGCTGAGGGCAGACACCTAAAATGAAGGAAGGAAAGCTTGTTTTAAAAATACTAATCCTGGGTCCCTCTGCCTCCCATTCTTATTCTGAATTTAGGTCTGACACGGATCTGTATTTTAATAAGGACCCATCTAGTTCTAATGTAAGTTGTCCAAGAACCACAGTTTGGGAAGCACTGATCCAGAGGTCTGAAGAACTGCTTAGAGTAAGTGCATCAAGGCTAATAGCAATTAGCAATTCATTTTCAGAAGAGTTTTCATATGGGATTGTGTCAGAGATCATCTCTTGGGGAGAGATGTCACTTAGTGCCATCTTAAAATAAATCAATGCTCTGGAGGATGTTCTCCTGGGAATGTCTGTTGGCCCAACACATTTGCCTCTCTGAACACTACCACAGTGAATTCCAAGAGGTACCACCAGAGAGAAGGGGAATTCTGAGTAGCAAAGCTCTAGGACAGGCCCATTACCCACTAAAGCATTCCTTTATGGCCAGAGCTTGACATTAGAGATGGAGACACCACCTACACTTACCTGTGCAAAGAGGGAGATGCTGTACGGTCCCATTAAACCCTTGCTCCCTGTTCTCAGACAAAAATTCACTTCTTGCCTTAAATGGTGATACAGCACAGCTATCCAAAAAAGCTGGTGTCTTCCCTTCCACCAATCACTGAATTCAGGGACATTTGCTGAGTGATCTGGTGCCTTTGGATGTAAGGGGCAACCAAGACCTGGAAAACCAGAAATCTTTCTGTAGCATGGGGCTTTAAAGTCAGACTGGGTGGACATCAGATGGACCTAAACCTTGTTGAGATGCCTTGATCCTGTCTCTTGGGTGACAGGAACACTTCCCAAATGGGAACTTTCTAAGTACTTCAGCTCCCTTTCTTAGTGCTTGGTGGCAGATGGTACCTACTGAGAAACAAAAAAGGCTCACTGGGCAGCCTGGCAGTAGCTCTAGTCACCAAGCATGCAGCTGCTGGCTAGCTGCCTTGAGCCCCTTGGCAGGACAGCCAGGGACTCACTGGATGACCACATCTCCTCAGCAGAGTTCTCTAGTCACATTCCCTGAACTGCCAGTCCCCTATGTGACAACAGATCCCACCACCTTGGCTTCTGCTTTGTAACTGTTTGTCTTCAGCCAGATGTTTCTGGCTACAGTGGAAAAGTGGAACTGTGCTAGGATGGAGGACTGGCAGGCTGTGTGCGGGAGTTGGGCAAGAGCCCCGGCTTATGAAACAGACTAGAGAGGTCTGTCAGAGCTACCCAAATCAGATCCTGTCTCTTAATGATTATAAACAATTATTCCACAATTAGGCCGCAAGGGTTAGAAGGGCAGCTGTTGGGACTGGGATTCCAGGTGGTGAAAAGCAGAGACCAGGTGCTTTTACCAGCCAAGTCTGTTTAAGAGAAGCAAAAGAAGAATATTTATTTATTTTTATTCATTTATTTATGTTTTTGAGACGGAGTTTCACTCTTGTTGCCCAGGCTGGAGTGCAATGGCACCATGTCGGCTCACCGCAACCTCCGCCTCTTGGGCTTAAGCAATTCTCCTGCCTCAGCCTCCGGAGTAGCTGAGATTACAGGCATGCGCCACCACACCTGGCTAATTTTATATTTTTAGTAGAGACGGAGTTTCTCCATGTTGGTCAGGCTGGTCTCAAACTCCCGACCTCAGGTGATTCACCCACCTCGGCCTCCCAAAGTGCTGGGATTACAGGTGTGAGCCACTGTGCCCGGTCAGAAGAATATTTAAATGAAAACTCAACTTCCATCCTCAAATATCTAGATAAGAAAATAGGCTTGATGAATATCCCACAATGACATCTCCTATTCACCCAATGTCAAATATTTCCAGCCATATCGAATTCAAGATCAGAACTTTCTTGTCATTGTGATATCAAGAACAGAGAATGACTTGTTTTCCTTTCAGAAGCTTGGTGGGGACATGATGTTATGTCATCCATCATTGGTTCTGCTAGTTACTACCTAGAAGTTGTAAAGAGGATACTTTTTTTTTTTTTTTTTTTTTTTTGAGATTCTCTTTCATTCATTCACTTTCTACTAAGTGTCAGGTTCCCCATGAAGTTCTTGGACTTTATAAAGATAAAACAGACACAGTCTCTATCCTCAAGGAGCTCACAGTCCAGGAGAAGAGAGTGACATGGAAACAAATAACTGCAGTTTGATGTGACAAGTACTGCCATAATAGTGTGTAAGGGGTACAATGATAGCACAAGGAACGAGTGATCAATTCGATTAAGAAAGATGCCACAGAAGGTGAAAAGCTTCCAGGTAGCTGGAGATAGGGGACAGGAGGGCATTCCAAGTAAAGGTACCCTGGCAAGAAGGCACTTTGCCAAATTCAAGAAGCTTGGAAAGTGGTTCAGTGTAGTTGGACAGAGGATATCTGTAGGAGACAGGAGGGAGAAGAGACTGGAGAAGAAAGGACCACACCAGGCCACCCACGTTCTATCACTTTGTATATAATGGGTGCTCTCTCTAGTTTTTTCTTCAAAACAAATGCTTCCCATTCCAGACATTCAACAACCATCTACATGCACAGCACTAAATGAAGGCCCCTGAGGGATATCCCTCTAAGGAGCTTACACTGAACCAAATTGGGTGGATTAAACATACACACTACACAGCTAAAGACAAAAAATGGACCAACAAGTACATCCAACTATACATGGTACAGACTGCACAAAGTACTGGGAAATTCACAGGTTCTTAGCTTCAGACAAAGCTTAAATACTATCTAATTAGAGAACTGTTCAAATGCTTGAATCCCCTTGACAAAACCCTGGATAAATGAGCACCTATGGGATGTGGGATGCTCACTCAGGCACATTAGTCTGGCTGAGGCCAAAAGGCCACCAACCACAGGATGCCCAGAAGGCTTTTATGGCAATATAAGAGAGACACGCCTCAGACAAGAGAGGGTCCTAGACAGGACCTTTTCTCCACTGGTGAAATGAATGGAATGATTAAGAATAAAGCAGCTGCCTAAAGTCTTCATCTGCCATCATAATTATAACTCACAGGAAAAAAAATTTCATGGCATACTATTACTTTTTACAGCTTGTTTCCTCACACACACACACACACACACACACACACAAAGCTTTAAAAATAAGCATTTCATTGGGTCCTTTATGCATCTCCAGATTAAAAGTTTCATGCAGAAGTAAGGAAGTATTCAGTTTATCTGAAGATACTTGCAGGCCTCTGGGGAATGCAGCACATGTTCTAGGGTGTGAGGAAGGGCCTTTGATAGTCCAGAGGTTCCACAAATGAAGCCTGCAGATCATGGATGGGCTTGACTGGAGCCCTTCCTTACGCCTTATGACTGTATGATAGCTCTGGTCCTGGCTGGGAGGTCACACCACTGTCCCTCATTACCCTTCCAAGCCTAGGGGAGATGCCATACAGTGAAAGCACAAGCAATGGCACTCACCCTCATGGAGGTCTCTCCACCATGGGCCTGTTGCAGCCTGAAGACCTGGGCCACCATGTGCTCTGTGGAGGGGTGCAGCAGGATCCTTCGTGAGGCCAAGCCCACCATTACATATCTGCCCATTGGGGACAGGCTCACCGAAATGGCATTGGGACCTGAGGGCCAACAGAACAGAGAGATATTTCCTAGACTTCTGGCCACTTCAAGGAAACAACTTTCACTCTTACTCTTCTCTTTTTCTCCAATCTTCATATTCACTTGCTCATCCTGGTGTTATCTCATAGGACTGTAGTGAGGAGTATGATGAGAAGGCATATACATACTGAGTATAGTGTTTGACATATAGAAAGCATCTAATAAAGCCGGATGCGGTGGCTCACGCCTGTAATCTCAGCACTCTGGGAGGCTGAGGCGGGGGGATCACCTGAGGTAGGGAGTTCGAGACCAGCCTGACCAACATGGAGAAACCCCGTCTCTACTAAAAATACAAAGTTAGTCAGGCATGGTTGCACATGCCTGTAATCCCAGCTACTTGGGAGGCTGAGGCAGGAGAATCGCCTGAACCCGGGAGGTGGAGGTTGTGGTGAGCTGAGATCGCGCCATTGCACTCCAGCCTGGGCAACAAGAGCAAAACTCTGTCTCAAAAAAAAAAACCAAACAAAAAAAAGAAAGTACTTAATAAATGCTAACCATTATTATCAACATTTTAAAAAATTGTTAACATCCTGATATTACTATTTTGAAACCCACTTTTTTCATTTAATACATTATGAACACTGTTCTGTAAGAGCGTTTTAAGGGCCAGTGGAGCAATTCCATCACTGCACCATCATTTGTTTAGTCAACTCTTAAAAAAAAAAAACAAAAAAAACCACTTAAATTTGACTCAAGGTGACACCAGCAAAACAAAACACCCACCACCCCTTCCCCCTGCAAAAAACAACAACAACAAAAAACAGTCTCAAGGCAACAATTTGACATTTTTCTGTATGGTAACACTGCTGTGAACACCCTTGTATGTAAATCTTTGTATAGTTTTCTGATTATTTTGTTAAAAGCTGGATTGCCAAAGAGCTGACACATTTTGAGAGGTTTTAAATACACAATGCCAAACTGTCTTGCAGTGCATTTGTGTGCCGCGACCACCTCCTCCCTTACTCCTGGCCATCGTAACAGGGGCATGCGGCAGGACTCTAATCCTGAGATGCTTCTGCAATGTTACTAGCCAGCACTCCTGCAAAGCAATCTTTCTCTGGCCTCTGCCCCAATGAAGGTAGGGGCAGTATGTGACCGTTACTCCCATCCAAGCCGTGCCTCACCTAGCAAAGACCATGCCAAGACACCAGTGTCCCTCTGTCATTAGGTTGGGCTTCCTATCCCTTACCAAATCGCTTGGTGTAGAGCATTTCGCCCAGGTTATGGGGGGCCAGGGAGTATACTGCCAGGATGCCTTCATCGGGAAAGCCCCTCTGGCTGCTGGGGATGAAAGCTGCCAGGAGCTGGCCATCTGCAGAAATGTCACAGCTGGCATCATTGTAGATCTTGCAGTTCTGCACCAGCACATTCACGGAGGCTGCATCAGACAAAGAAAGAAAAGAGGATAAGAAACTTTGGAGTTGATATTGTAAAAATTCTGGGGCCAAGAAACTTTAGGGACTTCCTAAGGGCCTGCACCTTGTCTAGAAATGCTAAAGAATACCTTCTCATTCAAACTAAAATGTCAAATGAACAAAACACAGGAGGCAAGAAAAGTATGTCTCTTCTCCCACCTTAGCAGGAAACTACAGGATAGTCAACACCACCACAACCACCTGCTGAGTCTTAGTTCACATTTAGGAAATATCACTTGAGAGATTAGATAAGGAAAAAGTTATTAAAAATTATTCCTAGAGAGCCATTTAACAGCTGTTATTGTCCCAGAGATCAAAACTAAGGTAAATGAAAATGCAAACCCATTGGTTCCAAGAAAAAGGTGATACAGGTAGAGCTTTCTTGGGACAGGAATCCCATTCAACACCTGTTATGTGACCTTGGAGAAGAAAGCCATTTCGCAAATTTGTATTTTGCTTTCTCATTTAAGAGAAAGAGAACTGGAACATCTAGAGACCAGTTTTCTGGAACAGCTCCTTGCTAATACTAATCTCTAACTCTACCAAGAGAGGAAAAACAATAATGCCCGGCTGTGGCTGGATGGCCAGGGCTCATTTCCCATTATGCTCTATGCCAATGTCCATGGCAGCCCTAGTCTGCACTTAGTAGTTCCTAAGAACAAACTGCAGGGTCAGGCAGGCAGCAGGCTCAGCCTCGTAAGGTGGCAAGATCTGAGGGTGGAGGAATGTCTGTTGGTGAGGAGCATCCACTCCACATGACAGGACCAATGAGATGTTAACTGGCACTGTGCCTATAGGCCTTGTTTCAGTTTTCATTTGAATCCCTCTCTGAGTCCCACTGTGCGATTCCCTGCCAGGAGGAAGTGGCTTACCCTTGATGTGAGCATAGAACAAGAGTGCCCACATCATGGGCCCAGGCAGAACAGCATAACACATTCAAACAGACCAAGCTCATCAGGGTATATTTAGATATACCTCAAGCAAAGAAACTTTTTACTGTTTCTCTTATTCGAAGGAGATGTCCACTGTCAGAGGCATTGTTGTAATTTTTTAAAAGCCAAGCTCAGCTGCCCTCGCCAGAGTCCAGGTGATCTACTGCAGTAATCCAAAAAAAACGTCAAGGGCAAGTTTCCCTAGGAAATTACCTCAAGGAAAACAAAACAAGGAATTGCTCTTTCAGAGGCCCCCAGGCTTATGCGATCTGATACTTAGAGTGATTTGTAAAACTCTATTTGTTCTCCTTTCCCTGTGTGTTGCTAATGAGATGACAGTGTATATCGAAAAAGGCATCAGAACACATTGATTAGACTACTGTGCCAACTCGGGGGCTAACACCTACAGCACCATTACGCATAAAACCGAAGAGGGACCACAAGGATGGTTCTGTTTGCTAACTAATAAAATAATGACATCCAAATACTCACTGCTATCACCATTAGGCCTTTCTACTGCTCAACTCCCAACCCACCATCTGGTCTAGCCTGTAAGGCTAGATTTATCTAGTTAGCACTGGGACGTCTGCTACTTATTACTCAGGGTCCCAAGACCTTTGCTAAAAAAACAAAAACGAAAAACAAAAAACAAAAAACCAAACCAAACCAAACCAAACAAACAAACAAGAAAAAACATGGCAATATCCCTCTCCTTTTCTGGCTCAACACATGAATCCAGCTGGGATACAGAACCAAAAGAACTTAAATAGGAAAGGAGATGGGACTCTATCGGCTTTAAGACAGCTTTGAACAGTTACCATTTTATCCACATTTAATGTCTCGAAAATATCTGTTGGGTATATTATCAAAGTAGACTTTCCTGTCTGCTGTTACAGAGATCTAGCTCACGTGTATTAACATTCATTTTGGTCAAACATCTAGAAGGCTATAGTAACCCTCAAAACTCATCACCAACACACAAAAAAGCATTTAACTGCTTACGAAGACAGAGGTGCAGAGGAGAGTACAAGTAAGGTTTTCCTTCTTCTGGAAAGCTTGGCTCTAAAACCCCTTAAAAACTGGGCATACGGACAAAAAGCATTTTGTCAGCCTCAAATCCAGGCCACTGTGCTTGTGCTTGTATTATATGATGATGATTCCAAATCAATAGCTATCTCCCAAATTCTGTCCTCTCCCCTGACTCCACCCAACTTCACAACTCTTCCTGGCTACTGCAATGAGCTCACAGAGATATGCAAAGGACAAACAAAAAGAGAACGCTGAAAATTTTAACAGCTTCTCTGGTAGCATATTCAGTTTCAGAAATTTTGCAGCTCATGATCCGGGGTTTCACTTCTACCGTAATGGGATGTGGTAGGCATAGAGTGATTTGGTAGCTCCATCGCACTGGGCTCTGTTTACAATTTCATTCTCACATTTGCTGCTTGTTGTCTATTAATTTCACATGTGGAAAAGGAAATGTTCAGTTACAATAAGTGTCACTGCTTCCATTCACTTGTGCAGCTTCCTCTTGTAAGGCTGAGATTTTGATGAGTTAATTCATACAGGAAGAGATTTCTTGGATCTCAATTACTTGTTTACTTAGGCCACAGAAAAGTAATGTACTAATGACAAAGGACAACTAACTCATCCTTTTTGGATTCAACAATAATATAAGGTAGAGAAAAAAGGGAGAAGTGAAATATAGCCAAAGACACCGGCAGCTTACACACCACTAGAAGTCTTTGTGGTTCTCCATACCTTGTGTGACCCCAGCGGTAGACAAACTTTAACATGTATCAAAATCACCAGGAGGGCGTATTAAAACACAGAATGCTGGGATGGGGCCTGAGAATTTGCATTTCTAACAAATTCCCAGGTGTCTCTGATGTTGCCGGACTTGGACTACACTTGAGAAATGCTGCCTCGTCAAATAATCCTTAGTCCTGGAGATGTATCTCCAACAACTGGCTTTCACTTAAAGGCAAAACACATATTGGAAAAAATGATGGGGTAGTTAGCTGGGCTGTGAAGGATGGAAATAAAGATTAGGAAAGAAAGGATTTTCAAATCAAAACTGCTCACGAACTTCAGGGGGCAGCTCCAGAGGGAGAAAAAACAATGCAGGAGACAGCAGGAAGCCATGTTCCAGACTCTGCAATGTAATCTCCTCCCAATTAGAAATGATTTCCAAGTGAAAATGCCCTAGCAGGGAATGGGAGGGGTTAGAAATACTGATGCCTGGAGGAGCAGATGGCTCTGCCTTCCTATCAGCTCCATAAATTATAAACAAACACCTTGTACAAAGATCGATTTGTAGCCTGTTGCTGGCTGGCCAGATGAGGCCATGGGAGCGATTAGCAGTTGCAGTGCTTTTGCAAATGCATTAGATACCGATTTAGAAAACCCAAGGGGGGTTAAATCAGCAGAAAAATTTCCTCTTGGCTATCTCTGAGCCCCTCAGATTTCAGAATAAGGCCTGTACAGAGCTCCAGATGACCCATAAACACTCCCCGAAGGCACTATATCCCCTGTGGTATGGCCTGCCCCACATCACTCATCTGCCAGGTTTCTTAAGGCCTATTCTGACAGGACAGCCTAGTGTCCAATTCCATTCACCCAGTAAGAGTTTACTCTTAAAAATCATAGTGAATCTAAAGCGCCACTTTTTTCAGGAAAGCAATTTCAAAATTATTTATGCATGAGGCCTTATTCATAAACTTCTAAACACTAATCTCAAATCTCAAGTGAGAGAAGCAGGTGGCAAGATCTTCAGCCTAACTCCAGGAAAAGGTTAAATGCAATTCACATAAATCTACTTGGAGGTTGCTGAACTCATCAGTAAAACACAGAATCGGGCTGGGCTCACACCTGTAATCCCAGTACTACAGGAGGCCAAGGCAGGATAATCACTTGAGGTCAGGAGCTCGACCAGCCTGGGCAACACAGCAAGACCTCATCTCCATAAAAAAAAGTTAAAAAATCAGCCAGACATGGTGGCATGCACCTGTAGGTCGAGTTACTCAGAAGGCTGAGGGAGGAGGATCGTTTGAGCTCAGGAGTTTGGGGTTACAGTGAGATATGATTGCGCCACTGTACTCCAGCCTGGGCAACAGAGCAAGACCCTCTAAAAATAAAAGTAAGTAAAATAAAACATAAATCCTCAAAGATTAAACTCATGTGGAACTTTCAAATGAATAATCAGAGAGATCACTAGAACAGAACAGAGAGTCCAGAAATATATCTAAATACAGAAAAGAAATTAATATTATGATGAAGATAACATCCCAAATCAATAGAGACAAATGGATTATTAATTAGTTGGGACAAGTGAGTAGCCATATGGGGGGGAAATTGGATCATACTTTGAATATTTGGGACTAAATTTCCTAGTGAATCAAAGACTTAACTATTAAAAAACTAAAATATAAAAGTTCTAAATGATCTCCCTAATGATGACACAAAACCAAGGAACCATAAAAGGAAAGTTGTATAATTTTGACTCCTTAAAATAAGTTCTATGACAAAAATAACCTTCAGCAAAGTCAAAACTTGAATGATAAGTAGGAAACTCCTATTATAAGTTAATTTTCTGATTTATAAAGAACTCCTGTAAAATCGCTAAGGAAAAGACCAGTAACACAACAGAAAAATTGGTAAAGCACATGGACAAGTCAAGAGAAGGGAACACAAATGGCTGTTCATATGAAGAGGCATGCACCCTTGTTTGTAACATGAAAAATACAAATGTAAAATACCCACATACTACTTTTTTTTTTTTACATATCAGATTTGCAAATATCCAAAAATTTGATAGCACCTTCTATCAGCAAGAGTTTATGAAATCAGGCACTCTCATGAACTCCAAGTGGAAAAATAATTTGGCACGAGCTGTATAGAGTGTGGTATGGCAATAACTACCAACATTACAAATGCACACTCTTCCCCCCTGCAATTCCATTTCTAGAAATGTATCCTAGAGATATACCTGCACATGTGCAAAATGATAAACTGCAGCACAGTTTGTAGAGTAAAATATTGAAAATGACTTAAAGGTCCTTTAATAGTAGACTAGTTAGAAAATTATGGTACATTCATGCAATGGAATACTAGGCAGTCATAAAAAAGAACAAATAAGCTCTTTATATACTGACATGAAAAGAACACCGAGCTACACTGTAAAGAAAAAGTGCAGAAAGTACAGACAAGTACATACAGCATGCTACCATTTGGGTTAAATTACAGGCAGAAAAACATAAATTTGCATTTGCTTCTATATACATATAATATTTTTGAAAAGATGGCTGGGTGCAGTGGCTCACGCCTGTAATGCCAGCACTTTGGGAGGCCGAGGAGGGCAGATCACAAGGGCAGGAGATCAAGACCATCCTGGCTTACACGGTGAAACCCCGTCTCTATGAAAAATACAAAAAATTAGCCAGGCGTGGCGGTGCGCACCTGTAGTCCCAGCTACTCAGGAGGCTGAGGCAGGAGAATGGCGTGAACCCAGGAGGCAAAGGTTACAGTGAGCCAAGACAGCGCCACTGCACTCCAGCCTGGGAAAAGAGCGGGACTCCATCTCAAAAAAAAAAAAAAAAAAAAAAAAAAAAAAAAAAAATTTTTTTTTTTTTGAAAAGATATACAAGGAACTGCTAACAGTGGTTACATATGAGGAGGAGTGGTAGGATTGGGGGGCTTCTTACTGTATTAATCTTTTACATTTTTAAAATTTTTGAACAGTAATATCAATTTCAGATGACAAACAAAGTGACAAAATAACAAAACAAAGTAACTTTAAGAAGCAAATTTCATTTTCAATAAGGGAAAAGGTGGATTGTGGTTGATTCCCAGCAGAGTTAAAGAATGAATTACTGGACATGTGGCCTATAAGCACTTAGAAAGGGATGATTGCTGCTGAAGTTCCACTGAGACAGGACATGGAAAAATTAAACTGATTTTCCTTGTCCAATAAAGATACCAAGACTGGCATATCAGGAAATGCCACAGACAGAGAATATCTTAATCATTTTAAGGCAACTGGCAAAGTCTTATAATATCATACAGACAAGGCAGAAAAATGTCAGCTTTAGATATGAACAACCAAGCCCAGAGTGCTAATTCATAAACTAAAATCAACACAGAGGAAGTCCACAGTAATGTACCACAAGGCTTGGTGCAATGCCCTGCCTGATTCACTACTTTTTGCTAACAATCTGAAAGAACACAGAAAAGCATGCTTATTGAACTAGTAGACAATGGAATATTGAGAAAGAAGGATTAAAACAAAGTTCAAATAGATGATGAGAGGCAGGAAAAAGAAACTACAGTTGACAGAAAAAATTGAATAAAAACAAATACAAATCTGTTTTGGTTATCAAAAGATAAACTGGGCCAGGCGCGGTGGCTCAAGCCTGTAACCCCAGCACTTTGGGAGGCCGAGGTGGGTGGATCACCTGAGGTCAGGAGTTCAAGACCAGCCCGGCCAACATGGCGAAACCCCGTCTCTACCAAAAATACAAAAATTAGCTGGGCGTGGTGGCGCGTGCCTGTAGTCCCAGCTACTCGGGAGCCTGAGGCAGGAGCATCGCTTGAACCCGGGGAGGGTGGGTGGAGGTTGCAGTGAGCTGAGATTGCACCACTGCACTCCTGCCTGGTGACAGAGCAAGACTCTGTTTCAGAAAAAAAAAAGATCAAGCTGTAAAAGTACAGGAAGGTTGAGTCTTGGTTTATTAACAATTATCAAGAAATTTTAAGTGACTAAAAATTCAAGAATGGCTTCTGAAAAAAGTGCTGAAGCCACAGGGTAAGCTAATAGTGTCTGAAGCACCACTGTAATACGTATTTGACAGCTCGCATCTAGAGTTTTCTATTCTTTTCTGCCCCCCTCCACTGAAAGTTAAAAGGAAAGATGAGCAGAACTGTCAAGGATTTGGAAATCAGTGAAAGGAATCTAAGGAGGTTTGACCTTTCAACAAAGATTTAATGGAAAATGGCAGCTCAGTTTAAATAGTCAGAGGACTGTCACTTGAAAGAAGCATCATGAGATTTATACTATGGAGGTTCAGAGACAGAACTAGGACCAATGGGAGAAAGTGACAAGGGAAATGGTGGCTCAGTGCAAAAAAAGAACTTTTTTTTTTTTTGAGACGGAGTCTCACTCTGTCGCCCAGGCTGGAGTGCAGTGGCCGGATCTCGGCTCACTGCAAGCTCCGCCTCCCGGGTTCACGCCATTCTCCTGCCTCAGCCTCCCGAGCAGCTGGGACTACAGGCGCCCGCCACCACGCCCGGCTAGTTTTTTGTATTTTTTAGTAGAGACGGGGTTTCACCGT